GAGTCTACCTGTCTGAGCCCCATGGCAGATGCATTTGTACCTGATCAGAAGACAGGGAGATGGGGAGGGATGCTGGCAAGTATATGTTGCCTAATATTTCCAGCGGACTCTGATAAGCAACTCTTAAACTGGCAAAGAGGCCAGGTGTGGTGGCTCACGCCTGTAATCCTAAAACTTTGGGAAGCTGAGGTGGGCGGATCACGAGGTCAGGAGATCGAGACCATCCTGACTAACGCAGTGAAACCCCATCTCTACTAAAAATACAAAAAATTAGCTGAGCGTGGTGACACATGCCTGTAGTCCCAGCTACTTGGGAGACTGAGGCAGGAGAATCAATTGAACGCAGGAGGCAGAGGTTGCAGTAAGCCGAGATTGTGCCACTGCACTCCCGCCTGGATGACAGAAAGAGACTCTGTCTCAAAAAAACAAAGAAACAAACAAAAAAACCAGCAAAGAGTTAACAAACATTGTGACTTTAAATTCTCTTTTATTTTTCTAGTCTCCAAGGACTTTGTCTCCTACTCCATCAGCAGAAGTAAGTACCATTTCTTTTTACCATTTTAATGGGTAGAATTTGAGAATTGCTTGACCCTTCCCTAGACTTGGATTTTTGAAAAAGGACATAACGTACAAAAGAACAGAAAAACTGCATGTGGGACTGTGGTGGTTTTGGGGATTACTTCTGTGGAAGAGGGAACTCTAAGAAACAGCAGTATATTCCTCTTAAATTGGAGACCAGGGAGTAAAAATGGCCTCACATTAATCTGTGTCTGTGCCTCTAAGTGGAAGGAAAGTGTCTGCAGGGACATAAGTCACTTGTCCCAATGTATATATCTATCTATATATAGATACATCTATAATTAATTTTTCTGAACCCTAATAAACTGAAATGGCCAACAGCAGTCATGGCGTATTCTTTAAGCAGAGCCATCTTGATGGGAGGTTACTCTGTTTAGTCTGAAGTCAATCATCTGATCCTAAAATCAAGCAACTTTCTGGATATTATGAAACTGGACTGCTTTTAGGGAATCTCTGTAATTCAAAGTAGTAAAAATACTATAATGTTTTCATGGTTTATGACTGAGTGCTCTGAATTATTAATTTCTACCTATATTCTAATAATTTGCATTGAATTTATGAAGAATTAATTTCTGTTGACCAGCTGTGTAAGGTTGAAGCACATAATTTGGGGACTTTTTGTTTTGTTGTTTTATTTAATTTATTGTTTAAGACAACTAGTATCAAGCCAAAGTTTCCCCTTACCATTTGCTCTCAAATTTCACAAAGTTATGGTTACTGAGGTTTTCATTTAGTCATTATTAATGCATTCTTTCAAACTTTTTACTTTTATTGTGCTAGTGGAAATTTCATAGGACAACAGATTCCTAAAATGTAACATATTCTTTGTACTCTTTCAACTCTTTAGACAGTTTTATATTGTGTTTGTGTGCATGTGGTTTCTTTGTACTTATTACCTAATATATCCTTTTCTAGGTTTGGAGACAGGTGACATTTTAGTGGTGCTATG